TATCTGCTGAATTTGTTTTCCTCTTTGTTCAGAGGGGTTGTATTGACTTTGAGGTTATTTTTAGTTTCAAAAGGTAAAAGTGCAGCCTATGATGTAAAGGATGTCACGATTTCCCCAGGACTTACCCCAGGATAAAATATGCATGTATAATGAGTGAATTAGAAAGAGAAGGGTGTTTCTTCGTGTTGCACAATGATGTGCGTTTAAGGATCGAACATCGAAAATGTAATGGCATTAGCAGTCAAAATACAGAGAGGGAAGACTCTAAATGAAGCCAGTGTGTAAACACTACACTTCGTTATCGGTCTGAGTAATTTCTCAGCCGCAGGAAGTCACAGCCAGCCTCTGTTCATCTTAAGCCTCTCAGCAGCAATTTCAAATTCTCCTGTGTCACATTCAGACGTTAAAGAATGCCAAATGAGGCTGACTTCAATCATGTTTAAATTTTCTTAAAGAAATATCGTGTCTTGCAAAGCAGTGGGGGTGCGTGAGGTCGCTGGAAAAAAGTGTCAAATCCAATTTGGACATTTAAATTCCCTAAAAACCTCCACCTGAGTAAAGTGGTCCACAGTTACAATGTGATGTGGTGGCTTGTCAAAGAATGTACTGTGAAAAGTTTGAGGCTTGGGGCCCATCTCTAAAGTTTATATATTTTCAGTCAGCTCAACTGAAAAATAACTATAAAATAATGTAGGACAATTAAGCAGATCCAACCAAAAGCACTACAAAAAAATCTTCATTCAAAATCAAAGCTATGCCAATATCTTTCTGCTAGAATCCTTTTTTATTTTTTTCCATTTGGAAGCACTTTTATTTGGAAGCACTTTGAAAGCATAATGAGAAATTTTGAGTAAGTGTACTCATTAAAAAAAAAATCAATGGAAACCCACAGCGCTTTACCGAGATTGCCAGATTAAAAATTTTAAGTACAAAGCCTTTAAACCTTTTAAAAATCTGTTTTACATATGAATAAAATATCCAATTAGTATATCTGATATTATGCAGTCATTTTGTCATCTGATTTTAGTTCATGTTTAAGTTCATCTAAATTAAACTTAGAGTCTCAATAAGGCGTTGATCAGTTTTCAGCGCTTTGATCAGTGTTCTTCTTCCTATGCCAATCTCTGAGAAGCACCTGCTTTAGCTAAACTCTTACTTGAGGCTGTGCAGAGAGCCCTCTTTTTCATAAATTGACTGTTTGTAGGGTTTAGGATGATTGTTAAGATAAACTGATTGATGAAAATTTACATAGTTACCATTTTTTTTCCTTTTTTTGCCAAATTGCCATTTAAAACCCTAAGGATTAAGATGAAGATTAGTGTTTTTTAGATTTTTTTTTGCTGGCCAACAAATGATTATTTCCCATCTTTCACTTTCAAATTCACTACTTCATTCAGATTTCATTTTCAAGGTCCTTTGCTGACAGGTGCAACAAGATTTAGCCAATCAAGTTCCAGGAGCACATCTATTTGTTTCAGCAACAGAGTAACAGTAGATTACCTTGAATGATGACTATGAAGGTAATTGTTTACGTTTTAGTTTGGATTAAATACTTGGCCTCAATTGGAAGTTATTACACAAATTATTGTCATTAACATTAGGCACCTGTAGGGCTCTTTGCGGATTACAATGAAAAACGTATTCCATCTCCATGGAAACATGAACCTTTGTCTGTGTTGCAAACTGTCTGTGTTGCAATCTGCCAGATGTTTCCTGTGGCCAAGTGTATGTGGCCAGATCACAACAAACATTCATTATGGTAGCTGCTGGTTAGCAGGCAGATTCACCGCTGTCTGCAGGCCAGTGCCAGAATCCATCGTCTTTTTGTGAATCTTGCTTTGTCTCAAGTCCTAATATCAGGCGAACCTTGAACAACAATATGACACTAAGGTGATCTGAACAGCCATTAAATTCCTGGAATGCACACAGTGATTTAATACACCACTGACATTTTTCCAAGCAGTTCATACAATGGTGCAATTTACCTGTTCGTCATTGGCTTCATAAAAAAGAGAACATCAGACCTGTGGCAAAATAGTAATGACTACCCTTCAAAGTTTCAGTGATAAATGACACAACTGCCAGTGCAATGAGCACTTCATTTGCCAAGAAAATTATGTGCAATACAGAGCTGACGCAGCTGTGTGCTTGACATGGCACACGGCACAGAAATCCTGTTATCATGGATTAAAAACATCACAGGCTGTGATTGGCTTTCACAGACCTTGTTACAAAGTTGAGCCCCTTAGGCTGCGAATGCTTTTCAAATTTGTTATAATGTTAAACAAGGACAGGGACAGTTAAAAGCGAAAACCCCAGGCAGGGAACACACCAGGACTCGACCGAAATGGACAAAAGGGAGACGAAGAGGAAAGGAGCCTAGCCAAGTTATGGGCAGACAGAAAGGGATGGCAAAGCTCGTTAAAGACGAATATGCAAAATCAGTCTTTGAGGGCTGAAAATGGAAAATAATTAACCAAGCAGTTGAAATTAAGTAGGATATTACTGCTGCTAAATTGAAGTCCTAAATCCAATTGCGTTACTGCTGCTTTTTATATCATTGTCAAAAATGAAACAGCAAAACCCCACTATAATCATTTTTCTTACGTATTTGTATCTTTCTTTTCTCTTTCTGTTTCTGTTGCACTGAAGATGAACCGATTCTTCATGTCATTGTGACACTTGTTCACAGACACCTAGCATGGCAAGTCACCCCTAGAGAAATCTTCTTCTCTGAGCCTTTATCAGAGAGAGAGTGAAATCAAGCAACTACATATTTTAAAGCTCAGAATTCAGAGATTTATACTTTTATTTTCTATCTTTTTTTTATTTTATTTTTGCATTCAAAAGTCTTCCATTAAACCAGACCTCAGCAATGTTATAATGATATTGCTTTTCATACTCAGAGTTTAATAAAAACACAGTTTCCTTGCCAAACACTTTTTTAAACAGCCAACATTTCTTTGGGATAATGGTACAGTGCACGGTTGTGTTTTGCATTGAATTTGCATAAACTCTTTGCATATTTGAGTCCTCTTTGCATTCTGAAGATATGGTCAAAGAGTGACGTCTATTTTGCACAAACACAGTGGAAAAAAGCTGGAGGGTGCAGTTTGCTTAGGCAAAAATACCAGAACCACAATCTGAAATACATCATTCGAGGAGTACTGCCTTTAAATGCTGCTCAAGAACAAAAACCTATTCAGTTAAATGTGTTTACAACATCTGAAAATGACCCTTGTGAATATGTGACATATTAATGTTAAGTCATGCACTTTTTTGGAAAAAGCACAAAAAACTTAGTTTCCTCATTGCTCACCTACTATTACAATGTTTGACCATTTGGGGCTTCCAGAACACGTCTTAAGAATAGAGGGAATAATCAGTTTTCCTAGTTCATATATTATATATATAGGTAATATGTCAACCTTAAAATGCTACTGGCTTCACACCGGCCATCAAAAGTTCTCTTTTGTTTTCTATCACTCTATTGTAGGTTTTGAGCAATTGCACCATGTGTTTCAAAAGAAAATTACAAACTATGGGAGTGATAGGTCAGGTCCAGATGAGGAAAGTCAAGGAAAGACTCTCACAGGGAACTTCTAACAGGCTGCTGAAAAAGCCCAATTAAATCTAAGATTGGTTCCCATAACTCTTAATCAAGACTTGTCAGACTGTGGAATGGTAGTGAGTTGTCATAAGATGCAGCGACACCTGACCAAATATCACATCCATGGAAGTGAAACAGTTTCTTGCAACTTTACCATGAAATCTGACTCTGGAACTTTTCAAATGAGCATCCCTGGCAGCCATGGTTGAGTGGGAATATGATTTTCAATATTTCTAAGTACTAATCGCATTTACGTCAGCACTTGAATGCCGCTTTTTATCCTAAATTGCTTACAGGTTTCTATTTTGTTGTCTGAATGTTTCCTTAATCAAAACAGCAGGCAACAAAAAACAATACTGTATCACAGTGTGCTCCCTCTTTAACTATTGCATTTGTAATGTGTAAAAAAGTCCCGATCAAATGTGCTTATGAGACTTGAGCTGTGCAGCCAGCAGAATCTGAACCATTTCATTAATAAAACGGATTAAAACAAACACCCATAAATTCCAGAAACACTATGACCCTGAAAAAGTAAAAAAAATAAATGGCTTCTATTTTCAAAGAGGATATTCTTCCGAAACAAACCTCAAAACCTTCAATAGACCTGAAGAGTCACAAGCATGTGCATGAAAATGTAAAGAATTTAGAAGAACTGTTTGCTGTTTGCAAGATTACCAAGTAAACAATCGTTCATGGTGTTTTTACTTTTGCTTTTTAAGTAAGTTTGCTAAATCATTACTAGGAATCCTTTAAGATTGCATTCAAAGTCTTGCTCAGTAGCAAAAGTTGGCCCATGGGATCCAAAACTATTTCCTGACTTGCCCAACCGATGAAAGTCCAGCCTCACCTTCATATAGCGATAACTTTTATTACCCAGGCATCGACAGTGGCTATTTTCATTCAGGTCAAATCAATTATGAGGAACAACGGCACAATACGAACGTTACGGCAGCCATACTTGTCACAAATGTCGTCGCTAAAATGGCCTTTCATGAATCATATCAGGAACCTGAATGGATGGTGCCCTGTTGATTCCTGACATCTGAGCTTTCAAGCTCCCAATTTTTTCTTTAAATAGACAAATAAACCACATGGTGAAGCAATGGTCCTGAAAAGACAGGCATCAGAAAGTACTCAGGGGGTGCCCTGCATGACACGATGTCAAATCAATTTGATGTGAGTGAATCATATGGCATTGCAAAGTGTTTGGGTTTTACTTCATTGCCCAGCAGAAATCCATCAATAATGCCATTTCATTTCTTTTTGTATTGCTGCCACAAAGGGGACACATCCCTGAGATCCAGCAAAGCTTTTTAAAAGAGCACTTATACACTTTTCTTTACTTTGTTCTTTACGTTTGTAGTTTTCATTTGAATAAGTGCCCTGTATTTTACCTCCATGCATGTGTGTTTTTACCTTCCATAACATAGACCAGCGAGCCCACATCGCCCTCCTTAATGATGCAGCTGTCCTTTCCATACTCCACAGGGTACATGCAGTCCACAATCTCCTGGATCTGCGACAGCTCCAAGTTCTTCATGAAGTCATTATCCAAGATGGCCTCCTTGATCAGATCCTTGGACCTGAAGGTAAAGGGAAGACAAATGAGATCGACATTGCACAACAGACATCAGGTCCAAACATAGATCATATGACAGAGGTGTTTTCATTTAAAAAAGATAGGCATAAGCTCACATGAAAACAAAAACCTTATCCAAGATCAAAATATTCTGAAGGATGCTAACTTATTCAGTCTGTTTATGTATAAGGCAATTACAGTCTAACTCAGACAACACAAAAGATTTTTTAAATGAATCCGCATTTCAGGTATGTTCAAAATTAAACTTTTTCATTTCCTCTCAGTGACAGAACAAGTTTATAAAAAGCTAAATCCAAAACCAAAAGCAAGCAGATTCCTTCTACTCAAAGGACACTTATTAAAGTAGATCTGGCCTTCAGACTGCAGAGGCAGTCAGACATTCCATGAGCAGGTATAATTTGTGATAGCTATGCAAAGAGGGGAAGAAAACTACCTACAAAGCAGACGTATATTTATGTGACCGTGCATTGTCGGGCGGGCTAAAAGGAAGAGAAAGGTAAATGTCTGCTGGGGCACATTACAACAGGATCTAATCAAGTACAGGTGCAGGGGAGAGATTTTTTCATAAAAGGCGTCCATGTGTTGACAGCTGGTGAACGTAGGCGGGATGTAGTGAGGTTTGAAACCTCAAAGCAAGTGTCAGTCTGATCCACTGAGAAACAAAGAAGTGAGGAGAGGCGAAAGAGGTTATGAGGTGAGTCAGGATTATTCGTTCATTGAAGTATAGCATCACCATCTGAACTGCTTGACTGATTTGGCTGGTTGTTGTCACCTGAATGGGTCCTTAAAACGGTTTTTCTTCTGGAGATTAATCATAAGTGCCCCCCCCCTGAAACCAGATCATGCCCACAGAGAGGGAACGGTTTAAACCCCAAACAGCTCAAAGAACACACTTTCAGGATTCAAAGAATATGGCGAACCACCTCTTGCCTTTCTGAGCGTGATGCCCTTTTTCGGTCCATTGTCAACGCCGATCACCCGGAGAGCTTAAAGCTGAAAGGGCAAACAACCTTGAAAACATTTACAAAGTTGTGCTCTGCCAGTGCAAAGTCCCCCACAATCCACACAACTGCACAGACTGTGCGGCCACGATCTCAGCACCACACGGGTTTATTTGGATTCGCTCGGCGAGCTTTGGATCTGTCATTTTTAAAACAAACTTCCCTGCGCATTCACGTGTTTACAACACAGTGTTTTAACATCGGAGTCTAACTTCTCCTCACGTTGAACTTTTAAGGTCACAAGAATCTACTTCTCCAATAAATTGTGAGATGCACAACATCTCAGGCATGAGAAGAAACAGTTTGCCTGTTTTATAGGAGAGGTGCCAGGCTGCAATTTGAGCTCCCGGCTATATATCGGGTCCAGAATGAAAAGTCATATGATTTGCTGACAAATTTCACTCAAATTCACTTAAAATTTTTCTCGGTGATCCACAGAAAGGGAGCTGATTATATCAACTCTGAATTCACCAGTTCAATACATACTTTAGAGGGAACTCAAGGAAATCATATGACTGAGGTCAACAACTTTTCAGTTTTGTTTGAGGGATGGATAGATTATAGGGAAGCTGCTTTGAAAAAGTAAAGACAAGCAGAAGAAAGAATCATCTTCAGATTAAAATCGTGATGTCGTGAACTCATCGTAGCGATGGCTAAGAATCCTTTTTCACCCTGACAGCTCACACATCCCGTCCTCCCGCAGTTATGTGGTGTCTGGAATACAAACACTCTAGAGACATGAGAAAAAACTAAGACGAAGACGTGAAAATTATTTGGAAATTTTTTATGGATGTGAACCAGGCCACTCTAATAGAACCATTGTACCTGCATTAACCCCAACACCTCCCGGCAAAAAAAATCCACCCATGGGAGTCTGAATCGCTCCTGCCCAAAATTAAAAGAAGAGGAGCTTTGTGCTTTTTTTAATATTCTCATCCCATAATCTATGTTAAAACTTCCTTTCTTCTGCAGGAAGAGAGGATATTTTGGATCTAATCTTGACAGCTGTGATTAGTTTTTGGGAAGACAACCTTAATAAAAAAGTGCTGTTTTCATCTCTGAGGACACTTATTGCAATGGTGATGCTTCGAGATAAGATTAATTTTCATATATTGCTGTACAAACACAACTAAAATTGACTAAACTTACAAGACAAAGATAGAAATGTTTTTTTCTGTTTTGTTTGTTTTCTTAACTGAAATCTGACCTGCAAGGGTCTGAAAATCTGTCTCATTGACCCCGTTTCTGTTATATTTACACCCAAGAGGCTTTGAGTCTTTAAATCCCGTCGGTGGCCAAAGTTGAGCAACGTCTTCCAACCAGACCCTTCCAAAAACATTTGCCTCCCACTACTTTGTGAGAATGACATATTTGCTTTTATCCACTGGTGAAGTTCAGCCTTCCTTAAAAGGAGAAAATATGCTCTTTTAGAAGGAAAAAAGAACAGGGGTGGCAAAAAAGTGGGAGAGGCTAACAGAAATGAGACAGCCGGAGAAAGAGGGATGGATAGCACATGTGTAAAAAAAAAAAAAGGCATTCTGTTCACATCAATAATGAAAACATAAAAGTGTAATGAGGCATTTCATTTCTGCCTGCAAGAACTGTTGCAGACAGAAAAAAGCAAACATCTTTTCTTTTGATTGAATTGTCACAAAATGAATGTTGGAAAAGCTACACAAACACAAAAGACACTAAATTATTAGGACTCAAATAATAGAACAACACAAAAAGAATTGCACGAAACTCATGAGGAAATGATCCAAAACAACTAACAAATAATGATGGTGCCGAAGTAGTGGGAGACCAACCAGAACGCAAGCTCTGTCAAGTCATTTGCACTCTACGGCCCGTCTTCTTTTCCATCACATTACCCATGTATATGCTTATTACCAGAGAGATAATAAACAAATTGTCATCTTCTGGCAAATGAAATGAGTGATAAGGTGTTGCAGATGTTCAGCAGCAAATTTAAGCTGTCATCGGAAAGCTTGAAGTTTAAACAGGCTTTGCGGCAAGAAGAAAGCAATTTTCCTTTGACTTTCCCTAACAAACACACAACAGTTCTTTAGAAAGCTTCTCAAATCTTAATCTATGCTTCAACTCGTCGATGACAAAAGAAAGAAGTGTTCAAACACGTCTGACTTCTGTACAATCAATCAATCACTTTATGGAGGAGCTGACACCTTCCCCTTGGTTGAAGTCCTTGTTTTGATCAAAGTTACCAGAGAATTTCATTAGTGATGTGCAGCCAGCATAGTCTAATAAAAGGAGAGAGGATGAACATCGGGATGAAACGGTCAGTGTGATTTCTCCATCTGCCATTCCAAGCTTGCACACACATTTTCAAAAGTGAAAAAAATCATTTAAAAACCAATTCATTTTTAAATTCTTATTAGCTTTATTGTTTGTTTGTTTTAAATGCCAGAGCGCATTTGTATGAACACCTTTTATCATTTTGGCAATTTTTATACATTTGCTCAAAATGTTCAAATTCAATACAGAATTTATATGTTTCTGTTTGTATTTTTCACCAGAATAACAATGCTCATAACTGAAGTTATTTCTAATGCATAAAGCATCAGGATGTATACGAGTTTCTGTCCATTTAAATGTGGATTACAGGTTACATCTCATTTGAATTTTTGCTCATGTTCACATTCAGCTCTAAAAATAAATGTGTTCATATCAGTTTGTTTTTTTGCTCTGTGATCCAAGAATGAAGAGTAGCCATTCTGCCAATTTAGAAGTTTATCATAGCTCATCATTTAGGGATACAAGATAGAAATTAAAATCAGCTTCTTTGAGATCCAGACCTTGCAGAGGTGCGTGTGTTCATTTGAACGTTTGTAAAGAAGAGAGGGAAAGGTTAGTGGCTTCCACCACGTCCCTGAACCTGTAATTCCTTGTAACAGAATGGGATTTCCTTTTTCTTTTATATTGGGCTTGGACCGTTTTTAATGCTACCAGTTCTATCAATACCTGTCACAATAGTCACAGGTTGGCGTTGTAAAGTTGCTGCCCCTAAGTCACATTTCCGTAGTATTTCCACTTAATGTTCAATTTTGTGTGCCAAACATTGCCTTTCTGTGGTCGTGTGTGGAGAACAGCCGCCCATGGCAGAGCTACAGGTAAAGTACCTGCTGCGCCACACGCAACATTACGCACAGCAATCACACAGGTGGCACGATGACGACAACGGTGACAATGAAAAGTAAAGACTTTGGGTAGAGAGTTAAGCGTTCGGACACCTACTGTGTGCTTTTAGGGTAGAAAGGCAGGGTGACATGGCTGAGATCCTGAATGTCGAAGGCAGTGGGTTCGGCCGAGATCGCCTGCCTCTTCGTTCGCTGCTGCTCTTGCAGCTCCTTCTGCTTGTGGACCTGTTGGGTGGCCGGCTTAATGACGGAGCGGTATTTATCCAGTTCGTTCTGTAATTTCTGTATAAGTTCGTCTTTCTGGTCCAGCTCCAGTTCAAGTTCGTCGATGAGCGCGTCCCTCTGACGCAGCTCCTCGATCTTCTCCTGGAGCGCGTACTGGAGATCGCGCAAGGTGCCCATTTCAGCCAACGTCGACGACTGACTTCCCAATAAGTTTTTACGGAGAGCTCTGTGGTCGACTCTTTATCCTCTCTCCTCCACCACGCCGCGCGCAAACTTTATCCGGCATGAACAGCTTCGGGGGATGCAAATCCCTAGAACTGCTGAGGGGGGGGATTCCTCGTCGTTGTCAGTCACAAGATATTGCCAACAAACTGAAGTGAAGGTAGGGTGTGTAGTCGGTGGTTATCGTGATTACCAAGATGAGTCCATGAAGCATCTCATGAGCAAACTTTATTGTCTCCGTACTCCACTGTGTCGATTTCTCTCTCTCTCTCTATCTCTCTCTCTCTCTCCCTCCCTTGGCGTTGTGACAGTGGAGGACCGTCCCCCACCAGTGCGTCAGGCTGCGACCTGGAGGGAGCGCATGGCGAGAAGGGCGCCTACAGGAATCACCGGCGCGGTGCAGCCTGCCGCTCCACGCACAGCTCGGCTCGTTCCACATCAATAATGAAGCCAACAAGCGCGCGCCGCGGCGCTGTCATTACAGCCACTTCCGCATCTCGCCTTGAGGCTGATAAGTTACAAATGGATGGGAACTGGGGCTCAGGTGGGGGTTGAAGGTGAAAACTTAATGAACCTTCCATGCAAAAATTGAGCAGCTGTCTTCAATTAGTGGAGGCGCTTCTGATTATCACGTGTTGCACGTAAAAATGCCTGAAACCAAACGTACTTACGCACAATTTATTATTTCAAAAACCTAAAACCTCTAAACTATGGTCTTTAAACTATGTCCTGAAATGTACATTTTCGGACAAACAGAACAATTGAGGCTACAAGAGGCAAAAACCTCAAAGGACAGATGAACATGCCACAGCTACTGTGGCTCAAGACTCCTCGCAGCAGCTTCACATTCCTCATCTAATCTGGTTTTGTTTGCTCTCCGAGCGCCGCCGGTGTCTGTCCACATGATCCCAATGAGTCATCTCGTGCTCTCAGAGCGCATCATTTTGGCCCCATGCGCGTTGGACAAATTCAGGGGAAGATAAACTGCCACGGACAATCAGATAGGACGGGGACTTACTGAGGGTAAAGCAGCCATTTCTGCTGGGTGGCGCAGCTTGACAGGTAACACGGGGAGCTGAGGGGAACGAGATTTTTTTTCGAGCAGCAGGAGAAGCCTGGCCGGTATGTGGTGGCATAAGGAATCTTTTTCCCTGACATAAGGCATGTAAACAACTCTGATAAAGATAAATTGTGGAATAGTGAATCACAGCTGCCCTCTTGTGGTGAGTTAAACTATGGGCTCAGGAGAGCAACAACTAGGTGGATATCCTTAAGCTTGATCAAATCAAATTGCCTGAAACGACCCCCTTTTATCAAATATATGAGTCAGAAGAAAAACATTAATGGAAAGGATGTGATGATGATTATTAACAAGAATGCGTACAATTAGTTTAATTAGAGGAATTTAAAACATACATCTCTGTGATGACTTTGATTTTGTTGAAGGCTGAGCAAATATGAGGTTTTGGAAAGAAAAAAATATTAATTTAAATCTAATTTAAAGCACCTCTGTGTTCCCAAAGGCAGAAAGAGCAAATCAGAGCATTATGTGAAACTTCAGTGATCCAAAGCCTCTGCGAGTAACTGTTCAACCAAAAAAACCCTGATGTCAAAATCAGTGAAAGTGAGGCCCAGCATTGCTGCCAATAAAATCAACAACTTTCTTTATCAAGTCTGCAGCTCTCCACCTGTAAGTTGATCAAAACTTAATTTTATTTGGCCTATGTTTTAAAAAAAATGGGCACAAAGAGAGGCAGCAGAAAAGTTGACCACCTTCCATTAAACGGAAGGTCTGAGGCCTGTCCGTGAATCCAACCAACATCAGAAGGCCCTGCCATCGTCCTTCAAAGCTCCTCTGTGCTTTAAATTTCACCTCTCTAGCCATCTAGCTCAGCCCTTTTCCTATGCAGATCAATAGAAACTGGATCCATCGCTCCATGCTGCTGAAATCCGAGGAGCATGGCGGGCCGCTGCCTGGTGCCTTGTCCTGACTCTGATGGAGAAGGGTCATTCCGCCTCCGACCTCGGGACGGCTGATGGCCTCGGCCAAAGACGAGGGGCACCAATAGAAGTCATCGAACTGGTGCTTTGCGTAAATGCAAAAATGTTTACTTCTGTTTCCGCGTCTGTGCTTGCAAACAATTAAACAATTTGCCCGGCGAAAAACCCATTCAAGCATTTAGTCATCGGCTGAGCAGATGTTAATTTGATCACTGTCAGAATGAATCATGGGCGGAGGCTGTAGAAAAACGTCTGCTGAAGTTGATAATGGGTTCATATTCATTATTATCCTGCATGCAGAAAGTTGAATATTTTGTTACAGATATTGATTTGTTGTTTGTCATCATGGCTTTTTTCCTCAATGAGCTCAGACTATTCATGGCATCCGCATGAGGTATGGATGTCATGAATGGTCTACGGCATAATGGTCTGGATGTGGAGTCAGGGCTCTTTCTGTTTTTTTCAAGGTACTCCGAGCATGTCATCTACTAATGAGGAAATGAGGACTTTCCCTGCATGTATGTTGTTTATTGATGCAATTGCAGACTGGAAACTGTCTAGCCACACTCATAAAATTAACATCACTGACTGTTTCTCTGTCCACTGAGTGCTGCCCCTTCTGTTTGAGGGATTTATGAACTTTTTTTTGTAAGTAAAAATTATGCTAAATAAAACAAAGACTTGCAATAAATAAATCAGTTAAACCCCCATAAAAATATTAAGGTTTATCTGATCTGAGAGCCTCAAATAAGCTACTGTGAACTTAAAATGAGCATCCAAAAGTGATGAAGGAAGCATATGGTCAAACAAAGCGTTGTCTAATGGAGTATTAAATATCCTCAGACATGCACTTTGGGTCCACAGCGTCCAGCTACTAAAAGCCAATAATGCATAGCACTTCCTAGAGTCTGTGTCCTGTGAGACCACCGTGATGGATCTGATCAATTAGGAGCTCTTTCTGGAGCTCAACTTGAAGCTGCGTCATCGGCCCTAAGAATGAAAATGTTGGTTCATTCATGGCAAAGCTCTCATTCCCATTTAAGAGAAAAGGCTAAGGGGGTGGGGGCAACAAAAAAAAAATCATTAACAAAGACAGAGTGAGCCATGTATCATAGAGCCACACTAACTTTTGTGTTTTTACGCGCACTGATTTCTATCAATACATGGACATCACATTTTTACAGTCAAATAAACTCCTAATAGCCGAGTATTGATCCAAAATATTTGGATTCTGCCTGTGGAAAGAAACACAACTAAAAGGAAATATGGGACACAGCACAGACTCATGGGCGTAGGGGGGCAATAAAGTACCACCGCCAGCCGAAACTCTCTTACCAGTCAGATTTGGGGTATTTCCGAAATGCCTGCCTTGACAGGTCCTGGTGCGTCTGGGGCTCCGCGGAGATGCCCTGAGCTCTGCGGGTCCGCGGTCCAATAAGTTGTGCGCTGGGCAGAACAGACTGGCATTTGTGCAATTTCCTTTTCAGTTCGTGAATTTCGTCCTCCCGGTCCGCAAGCCGCCTCTCCAAGTCCCGTATCCTCTCCTCCTTCAGCAGCAGGATCTTGGCAAAGTCGTCCTCCAGGTCACTCATGCTGAAATCGGCGTTCAACTCCGCGATATGGACACAATCACGGACTCCCAGCACTCCCACAGGGTTTTCGAAAACCGTCACAATCCCCCACTAGACACGCGCAGGGTGATGATGCTCCAAGAGTCCCCTTCACTGTCCACTTGTTTATTTCAGGAGAAACGAGCAAAGCGGGCGTTTAGAGCCAGGAAGCGGACGGCTGATGGAGCAGCGCAACGCTACGATCCACCAAGTCTCCGGGGAACAGCTGATGATCCTTCATTGAGAAACCAATTACAGCAGCTCTTCCTCTCAGAGGGCGCGCACGGGTCGTCAAACTTGGCACTAAAGAGTCGAGATAACTCCTGTATCTCAACGCCTCGGAAGCTGCAAACACACCACAGAGGAAGCCCCGTTACGGCTGCTACTGCTCCTGCTGCCGGCCAATATTTATTTATGTGCACATCCTCTTTGGGTGACAAAGGCGCGCACATCACCTCCTGACCTGACCTATTGCAAAAATCAATTGTTCCGCACTCGTTCTTGCGTCATGGGACAGGGGAATGAGCTTTGGCGTTTTTACAATGGTCACTTTAGAGTATCACTTAAGTGAAGTGGAAGCAATCTGCAGGGCACATAGAATTCTACATGTGGTCAAGTTAACTTTGAACTCTTTTCCATTTACCTATCTGATTTGGGGGCTTATGGAACAGTTTGTATGAAGTAAATGGAAGTTCATGAGTGAGAAAAACAATGTGGAAGAGAGGGAAATCTAAAGTGCAAACTTGAACAAATATGAAAGCAACTAAGCAACGACCATAAAAATGTTTAGGCACTGGTATAGGGACAATACACTATTCACAATAGACAGCATCAAATAAGTGACATGTTAGATTACTTCTTAAATTATATGCAGTTATATATGCATAACATATCTTTAAAGACATCTTGGAACATTGGAAATAAAAAGCTGTGACTAAAAAGAAGGAGATGACACATGTTGAAACCTTAAGTGGCAACAGGTCAGTAACAGAGTGAGTATAAAAAGAGATACTTTAGAGGGAGGAGTTGAGGAGCTGACGGTCAGCAAAGTCTACAAGTTGAAGAGAAAATACAAAACATTGTATCTCCATCATAAAACGGAAAAGTCTCTGAAATGCTATAATCTGTTATAATGGGGGATCTCTGTTTGCAAAGGACATAATTAAAACATCTGTACTGGATAGCCCTGATCAAGGTTAAGGGCCTGAGGTGGCACTTAACTAAAAACAGGGAATACTTCCAAAGATTGTTGTTGGTGAGAATATCAGTGGTACCATCGGCTAATGATGGTCAAACGTTTAGCATAGAAAGAAGAAGCAATACATCAACATGTTCCAAAAAACATCTCTCTCTTCTTTGGATCAAAGTTCACCTGAAATGTACAAAGACAATGAAAAAATAAGACTTGGAGATTACTTTTTTGATCATGATGTAACTTCCTCTGCTCTAAAGAGGAAAGGAATCCAGTTTCTTTTCAGCACTCCTGCTATCTTGAACCTCTGCAATCTGCACATCTGGAAAGGGGCTATCAATGCAGAAAGGGACTATTTGTTTCACATTAACACATGCTCCCATACAGGAAAGGGCTTGTTCAGGGAAGGTCTTGCATATTTCAGAAAGACAGCACTAAAGTGAGTGCTGAATCCATTGCATTTGTTGGATATCAACAGACTGTTAAAAAGAGGATGCAACACAGAATTAAAGTTGCCCAACTTGATCTGGACTAGTTGCAAGCATCACATTTTAGATGACAATTATGTAATTGCATATTATAATCTGAATAATTTCTTCAAGTGGCTCATAACATTCTTTTTGTATTTGTACTACACAGTATCACAGTTTTTATGGAACCAGAGTTGCAATTGCATCATTGTAGCAGAAGACTACAGGAGTCTGTCATTATATGAATCCAAAACAATGCTAAATCAAAGGACATTCTGTTTCATCTCACTTATCAGAATACAGTCATTGTCGCAGCAGGCTTCATCTCTTTCATTGTCGATGATTTGTTGTGAAAAGAAGAGAATTCACCTCGTCACTTGTTCTTTGACTTGCCGAACACAGCCAATCATTTCTATACTGTTTTCCATGCCAGTGCCCAAATCTGTTTCAAGTGAATGAATTCATTGAGGAAGGGGGGCACTTGTGGGTGCTAGAGGGATGTTTCATTAACATTCTGAGTTAAAAATAGCGCGAACAGATCCTCACTTTGCCGTTGCACTTCTTCAACACGTCTCACAGTTGTCAAAAGCTTGCTTTTTATAATTCCAACCACCTCTATGCTGGGTGGGTTCTTGTTGCTGGAGCACTTTACTACATGCAGTGGATCTATTTGTGGAGTTTTATTACGCATTATTACACATTTCTCTCCCCCTGTTAACCTCCAGCGCGTTCATCTTGGTGCAGAATACCCTTCTGATAACTGGTTGTAAACCCTCCTCTCCCATGGGAGACTGGGGATGACCCACTTTAGTCATGTTTGGCTTGATAATTGCACGGAGCGTTGTCAGGCATGGGTTGCAGAGGTTTCTTGATAAGAGACACATATGATCTGTGCTGAGTGTGTCACTTGTTTCGTAATTGTGAGGAGCAAAGTGAATACGACCAGCACTCAGAGACAAGGTGAGCACCGGGGTCGTGCTGTTAGCACCGAGCAAAATAGTCGCCCATGAATTATTTATGCAGCAGACACTATGTTCATTATGACAGAGGTAAATTAAGTGTCACCTTCTGTTACCTTATGCATATCAATGGAGTATGTGTGCACTGAAAAAGCGTGAGTGACATCCTATTCAAGTAACAGGGTATTCATGGATTCAGACAAAAAAAGATACAGAATATCCTCAATCAGGTTTTCATTAAAATGCCTTTGATCTTATACTCTTAGCACAACATCCGAGGCTGAGAGCGCTCGTTACATCGTCACCATGACTATATCAGCATCACAGGCCTGAAGTGTATGTCTTGGTTGCCTCCGCACCAGACTATGTCCATGTTTACACAGTGTGAGTAATGCTGCATTACCCGTTTCTGTTTGTGTTGTCCGAGCACTACATGGGTCATCTCCCCTGGACGTTGCAGGTTAGGTAACGGCCGCCCAGTTGACCTCACAGCACCTGCAGATAGATGCTCTGACTGCGCACCACACACGGGCATAGCTAAGTTCATGATTCTTCATTTTGGCTGCCAAGTGATAAAGCATTTATGTGCTGTCCTCACAGAATCCCTAAAGCGCGTCTGTGCACAGAGAAAAAAATCCGCTGCCCTCTTGCCGGCCTCAGGGACAGATCATCTTACGGAAGAGAGGAGGGCAGACATTAGTCACTGTTTTCCTGTAACACACTGACACACACTCACACAGACATACCAAAGAAAGAGAGTGAGAGAGAGAGAGGTATCTCCAGTGTGCCCAGATGCATGCTTGCACATCAGTATCAGCCTCATACACACGCTTGCATTAAAAAGATTTATGTCACCATTTAAAAAGCAACAGTCTTGCAGATACACAAACACAATCATGCCGGCAGCTCGTACGGAAACCTTAGAAGGGGATTGTTAGAAGCTCAGTGCTTGGATCCGTACACTGTCACACTTATGGAGAATATTCCCGCAGGAGCCCCCAGTGCTGTCTGCTCCTCTGCCACTGGTCCCTGTGAGACATCACCAGCTGGCCTCCTGCCCCGGCCCTCTATTCCCCAGGAGGTGACAGGAGCTGTGGGAGAAGGTGAAAGAGGAAATGTAGAGGAGATTCCTTTCTCCAATTTCTACAATCTATTGGTGAGCCACTCCGGTCCCCAAGTAACACCGCAAATCTTGAGCTGTCACATGCCATGTCATACGACAACTCCACTGTACAGATGTGGCCGCACGTTGTAACATGAGCCACTGATTGATTGTTTGGCTCACAGTGGAGATGGATGGAACTAGAGCTCAGGAAATTGACTTAGCCAAAGCAATAATGATACTTCCTTCCTGCCTTCCTGCATTAGAAACATTAAAATCAGATACTGTAGGTGAGGAGAAGGTGTGTAGTCTGTGTAAAGTGGCTGTTTCTCTGGAGCTAATGATCATTTTCACCTCTGATTCATCTTCTAATGAATTCTCAGTCAAATACAGTAATTTCTCAAAGAAGAGACGGATCATCTTTAAAGGGTAATGATCAATATAAAATAACAATAACTTGAGTGCTTGTGTATAAAGGTTTTAACTTGAACAAACTATTGCTTAAAGAGTTTTTTATATTGTTGTATTTAATTCTCACTGCTGCTTTTCCAGCACAAAGCTACCTAGAGCCAAAAGGCTGAGATAAACACATTGTCACTGCTAGCATCTGCCCAGCATTTAAAATTCAATACACCCAGGCAAATATTTATTTTTGAGCCAAAAGATACTGAATCCCAGATTTGAATGTGACTTGTGTAGTAAAACAGTACAAAACAATATTGATGTAGATCTATGGCTATTTGATGAACCCAACACCATAATTTCAGCTTGAGAGCCATCTGGAATTGGTTTGTTAAATGTTATTTTGGGTAGTGCATGGATTTTTCTCACTTAATACTTTGCTGCAGCACCTATTTTTACTTTTTATTTAAACTTTTTAATTCAATTATTTAAAACTTTGAATTAATGATCCTCTGTTATTAATGAACCTCCCTAGATCTGCCCACCCAGCTCAGATTGGTCAGCTAGCAGCTAATGTGTGCTGAACAGGAAAAGAAAAATGTATTTTTTAAATGCGGCAGTGCTGTAAAGATCAGTGAGAAAAATCTGCATATTCATCAATCTTTGATTAGTTCTAACTGAATGTCCTTTGTTGGACAGACCAGACGGATCAACTTTCATTGGGATAGTCCAATGGAGGTATTAGTCTGTCTCAACGTTACACTGCGGTCACTTTCACCAACAAAACAAAAACAGAAAAAACTATTCCCAAAAGGATTCAGGAATTCCAAACTTTTTGTCTTCAGGTGTTCATTTTTTTTATTTTCCCCTTAAATAGGGGCTAAGAAATATTCTGTAGTTGCATTGAG